GTGTTTCAGTAAAGCTATAGTATCTTTTTTACAGCTCTCAACTGTCTTAGACGCCACCAAAATGTCATCCACATAGCTCAAAATCTGGCTTCCCTCCGGTGGATTAAAATCAGCAAGACAATTTTTTATTGCATCAGAGAAAATAGTTGGGGATTCAGCAAACCCCTGGCTTAATCTTGTGAAAACATATCTTTCCCCTTCAAAGGTAAATGCAAACCAAAATTGACTGTCTTTATGCACTGGAATGGACCAAAATGCATTGCTGAGATCAATCACAGAGAAGATTTTAGCCTCTGGTCATAATTGATTAAGCAGTGTATGTGGATCTGGTACATTAGGTGCTCTTTGAATAACTGCTTCATTCACAGCTCGCAGATCTTGAACCATTCTCCAAGCTGTCGATGGAGATGCCTTTTTAACTGGGAATATTGGTGTGTTACAAGGGGAATCTGAGCATTTTTGAATTATTCCTTTTTTAATTAAATCCTGTATTACAGGTTTTATTCCTTCTACTGCATCAGGTTTTAAAGGATATTGTTTTATCCTGGGCCTGTACTCAGTTTTTGCTCTGATCTCCACTGGTAACATTCCCTTAATTAACCCAACATCTGTGGGTCCCTTTGACCACACCTCATCTGGAACTTGCTCAAGCTCCTCCTCCTCTTCCTGTGTTAGAGTCATTAGTCATGCAAGCTCCTGGTCAGTCAGATGTACAGCTGGCGTACATACTACTGTCCAGTTTATCTTTTGTTTTCTCCAGCCAGTTGTTTTACTCCAGTATACTCCTACTTTTTTATCTTGCTCCCAATCTCTAATTGATTCCACTTGACCAACAAAGGCATTGTTATCACTCCACTCTGCCTCTGGGTCTTTGGATATAGAGATATGTGGAATCTGCAAATCTCCCATGAGTTGTTTTACTGCATCTGCCACTCCTACAGTGCAGAAACTTGTTTTGTCTCTCCAGTAAATGTCTCTAATTTGAACTCTCTGCGGACCCAATTTTTTTACAAGCTTATCGTAAACTGGATCACCTCCTGGAGTTGTTTTAAATCTCAGAGTGACATGTAACTCATCATGTTGTTTGACAATGGCACTTGGATTTAATGCCTGTTTAGCCCTTTTTACAATTTCTTTCCCTGATTCACCAGGGTCACTTGTTGGCATGTCCAAAGTCCAACAATACAATACTGATCCCTCCGCTTCTAGGACATGGATATCAGTGTTGCTACAGCGCCTAGCTTCCATATTTCCATTTTTGTTTGGAAATATTCCCATTTTTAAAGCAACCATTGCATCACGTCCGAGTAGATTGTATGGGCACAGCGGTGACAGAACCACTTTCAACATGGCTTCATCACATGTTTCTGGATTTGTTATTGTAATCAACTGACTCAAATTTTGTTTTTGCACTAACCCATTAGCTGATCTCACTGTGATTGAGTTTTTTGAAATGGGTATATTGCTCACATCCCTAATCACTGTTTTATCCGCTCCAGAATCACAAAGGAACACATAGGGCCTTTCTTCAATGTAAAGTGTTATTTCTGGTTTAGACACATGAAAAATATCTAATTGAGTGAAATCTATAACCTCATCACATTGCTTTGCCAAATCAGAATCATATCCATTTTCATTTTCAATTATGGAAGTCATTTTTAAATTTGGAATTTTCACTGTTTCATCATTACTTTTTGTCAGAACTTTAGTTTTGTTATTACTCCCTAGTCATGCATTGTGATGTTTTTGATTTCTCCCTTTTTTTTCTACATATTCTTCTCTCTCTTTTCCCCATCTGAACTTGATTCACATTCTCTGGTCCATGCTTCACATTCTCTCGCCCAATGTCCTTTCTTTTTGCATATGTAACAATAATCATTGCTTTTGTCCAACTTTCTCTCTCTCCTAGTCTTCATCTGCCCCCTCCCTCTGCTTTGACCTCTGCCTCTATTCTGCTCCCTCCTTGCTGATTGGCCCTGTGCTTTCTGGAAACACAAGTCTCCCAAATCTTGCAGGAAAGAATCTACTGATCTGGCTTGCTCTTCTCTCTCTTTATTTCTCTTTTTATTTCTAGCAACCACTTCAGCATGAATAGCATGTGTTATAAAATCAGGCAGCGTCGCAGTAGGCAATCCAACAAAATTTCTCTTTATCCATTCAGAGACTTCTGGTCTTAAATTAGCCAACATCCCTTGTTTAAACTGTTGATCCCAAATTACACGTTCCGCTGCATTATTGTCTCTCAACCCACTGTGTTTTCTAAAGGCTATTTCAAACCGCACTCTAAAATCTACTACTGTCTCATCCTCCATTTGTCTTACCTGAGCTAACTTCCCATAGTCAGGTAAAGTTTTGAACATTTCTCTGATTTGAGTATGTAGAGTATTTAATCTATCATTAATGAGTGGGTCTGCTGCAGGAAGAAGCACAGGTGGGTTTGCATTGTTATTTGGGTTATAGTGTTGTCTTACTCTTGTCCAATCAACTCCCATTTTCGTCATGTAAATGTCCCTAATTTCAATTCCGTTAAGCCTATACATGTCCACCAGTTGTCTCATACCATCGCAAAATCCATCTGGGTCTTCTCTATGGCTTGGGACACTTTCTGTGGCTTTAATTATGTCTGCTTTCGTCCAAGTACGAAAGACATACATAGTAGGCAAACTTCCAACCACTTGTGGATCATGAGTGGGATTTGGGACTTCTATCATTGGGAATGCATCTGCACCTCTCTCTGAGAAGTCAACCCTTGGACTGAAAAGGTTTCCAAAACTTTTGCTCCAAGACGCGTTCATTGGAAGCCGTGATCTAGTAGCAACAGGTGTTTGTACATCACAGACTTGTGGTTGTGCTGCTGCTTCAAGCTCTGCATGTGGATACAAACTATCCTGCAGTTTTACAGAATTATCTGAGAATAGATTTGTTGTCTGTTGCAGTGGAGTATATTGAGGTGGTGCCGCTGTGTATTTATGAGCCTGTACTACAGCCTGCTGCTGCTGCTGCTGCTGCTGCTGCTGCTGCTGCTGCTGCTGCTGCACATGGTGCTGCTGCTGCTGCTGCTGCTGCTGCTGCTGCACATGGCGCCTCCCTGATTGGACCAAATTGTCTTCTTCTGTTGTAAAGGCAACTAGGCTGGTTTCACTCTTCTTCTCTTTAATTTGCTTATTCCTACACTTTGCTGCAACTAACCACAGCTCTGCCATTTTCTGCTCATGCAATTGTTTTTCTGATGGCAACTTTTTGGATTTAAGTCCTAAACTAACTTTCATCACCAGTGTTTCACACTCTTTTAGTGTTAGTTTACCTTCAAACCCATACTTCTTCTTCCAGTTTTTTAAATACTTAACTGATTCAGGATTTTTTCTCTGCATAAACTTAGGATCCCCTTTCAGATCCACAGTTTTAGTAAAAGATGAACCCATATTTACTCTTTAGTAAATTACTTAGATATCTTCTTCAACTTCTATTTAATAACTATTGCTTATACAACAGTGGATATTAATTACACATTTGTAAACGATCTTAGTGGAATGCCTCACGGGCCAAATCACTTCCTCGAGAAACAAGCTTCTAGATAAAACTTAATGTTTCATCCGGTTTCTCCCGGGTGTTTAATCACAAGGAATGTAATTGTTTTAGACCACTTTCACGATTACTTAAAACATAATGAGATGCAATCCTTTCTCTACTTCACCAAGCCGACAACTTTTCGTTATCACCGCAAGGTTTCTGGTTGTCCGGTGCTTCGAGTATAGATTGACCTCCTTTCACACACACATTCACACAGACGTCTTTAATTGAAAATGAACTCCGTTCACTTTTAACTGCAGTAAAAAGTAGTCCCCGACTTACTCTAAATAATAACCCCGTTATTATTACAGTCTATGATAGTTCCAGACTATCTAAAAGAATAACCTGTTGTTATTCCGGGCTCCCCCTTGACTGTCTTTAATAGCTCTCTGACTATTAGAAGGATAAACCTCGTTATCCCAGGCCTAAGAAATAGCTCCTCGACTATTAAAAAGGATAAACCTCGTTATCCCCGGCCTCTTTTTTGAGTCAAAAGTAAATTGACTTCAAAAGTAAATTCACACTTGCCTGTTATCGCGATGTCCGTGGCTTTTGTGTCTTCAATCCGAAATTCGAAGCTGATCAAACCCCACACAGAGAGACTGTTGCTGCAGTTGTTTTTCGACCTGCAACCTCCAAGCCACGCTGCTGTTTCAGATCTCCAGTACTGTAGGACGACGGTCAGCTCCAAAAAAATGATGTTTTGACATCCGGCTCAAGAAGGACCAAAATATGTTAACGCTGGTTCAGCCACGGTTTCTCCTTCGATGAAAAATGGACCACAAATTCTGCTTAGATATATAAAAAAGGTTTAATATATAAAAGACAGAATATAAGATACAGACAAGTGGCAGACTGCTTGATCCAGTCCGGGTCCTCTCCCTTGCACACCCAAAGCAAAAAGACACTACTTCAAGACAGGCTATCGATGAAAAGCACACAGTCACATGACCTGATAATTGAAAACACATGTCTCACCATCCTTAGGTGAACACAATAGCTCCTTTCTCCAAAACACACAGTAGCCCCTCTCAAAGTAAGCCTGAGGCTATAACAGATGTTTTCTGGTCCTCTTAATTTAACTTCCTGTGTATAATAGCTGGGGGTGGGTTGGTTCCACACATTCTTCACCCTGCCTGGATCAATACTACTAGTCTAACGTTACATTTATTAATATGATAATAACACAATAACATACTCCATTGACATGAAGCCACAAATTAGACGAGAGATTGTTATATTAAATTGTAATGACTATTTTAATTCCATGTCATTTTACGGATTTTACGGATTACGTTGTGATGGATGGACAGACGTTCCTTGCTTTTTCAGAAAGATAGATGGACAGATAGATACATGAATAGATAGTAGGTCCTATTGCGTACAAAACACAAATAAAATGTGACAATATCCGTGTATAGATACAGGAATTACAAATACTTTAGGACGGAGGCGCCTGTACTGTACACACATCTGTACACCGCCGTGATTGTGACGAGTTTGACCCCCAGCGCACACATCCACAGGCTGTCTGCCGCTGGCCTTTCTGGCTGCTGCCCACCCCCCCACCCCCCACACCTGCCCCCAGGAGCGCAGAGGATGGAGCAGAGCAATGCGGCGCCGTGACAGTGACATCTATCGCATGCAATGAATAATCAATGAACACCATCTGGCACCGACAACGGGGGAGCGCCGCGCCGGCCGTTTACTCCGCCATGACTTCCTCTTTCTGAGTCCCACTGTTTTCACCTGAGCTCTGCACCAATTTTTTTTCCCCACGTATTAATCTGTCACGCTTCTAACTTCATTTGTCCGCACGCTAGCATACCACCCCCCGCCCCTTCCTCTCTCTCTCTCTCTCTCTCTCTCATTCTTTTTTGCTCTGGGGTGGTTCACGTGACAGCATAGTCATGGTATATTTCATCTTCATTTTTCTGTACCATTTCTGCAGGCCACTAATAAGATGACCTGTTGCCCTTTAAAAGACACAGACTTTAATGATTTAAAGTTGGAGAATACCTTATTAAAGCGGGCTGGGTCTGGAGGTTATGTGCGTTAGAGTTTCTTCTGGAGATGCTATTAAAAGTGTTGGCCTGTATGTATTAGATATTCTACTTCATGTCTTAATGCAGTCAGACTTTCAGTGATATTTCTTCAAAGGGGTTTTTAGCCTTGTTGGGGGTAGGATGAACCAAACACGTCTCATTGATTTTACAAATTATATTCATATTAACATAATCAGCAAATATATGTGGGTGGATGTAGTCAAAACTTGCCTATGGAGAGCTGAAAAAGTAGGTCTGTGCCCAGCTTTAACAGCAGATTTAACAGCAGAACTTTCACAGCAGTCATGAATGATAAATAAATCATAGTGTTGATAGTAGTCATAACGTCTATCATAGGGTTGATGTGTAATTTATTGTGTTATTTGACCTAATTTCACTTGGAATTATTTTAACATTAACTCTTTGATGTTCACTCCTTGAAGAAAGAAACATCTTTTTTGGAGGGGATTTTCTGAGATGTAGGAGCACACTTTTTTTTAACCCCCTAGTTTTTTAATTGTAGGCCTCTACGAAATGGTTGGGTGGCAGCTCGGTGGTAAAAAATGCCCATAATCAAGTGATAGAGATTCCCTAATGAGGTAGATTTCAGTTCCAAGCTTCAAGTAGATATAGAGACTCAAAAAGTGCTCAAAAAAAAAAAAACCATTAAAGGGTTAAACTAGTGCAGTGTAGATTGACGGGCCCATCAGGTTTTAGTTAATTATTCAGTTTTTCTGCTACTGGACACCTGAATTTCATCAAAAATCAAAAAAGTATCTATCTATCTATCTATTAGCTTTTCACGAAGATAGGACAGATGTTCCTTATTTTGATAGATAGATGATAAATACAGTGATTATTGTATTGATTTTTTTTTTTATCTGGAAATCCTCTTGCAGCCTCCCCCTCCAGCTCAGTGTCAGACGCCTCCCTCTGGGGTCTCACCCTCCACTTTCCTCCACCAGTTTAGAGGACGTGTCCATTGTCAATACTGCTGCTTTGTAGAAAAAAATCTATGATAATAATATAACATTTTGTGATGTTTAAGAACACATATACCTGGAACCATTCTATAGATTAAAGCATGAAATCAATAGAAATCTACAAATCATAAAAAAATATGTATAAGCAAAGTGTGTGGACCAAATGTTTTCCAATCAAAAGAACAACACTTTGCTTTTCATTTGTGAATAAAAGACAATTTACCCCCAACTGCGTGCACAATTTAAAAAGTAAACACCTAAACACATTTAATTGACATAATATTTAAAGGGAAATGCAATGTACTTGTTCCTCCTGCAGCCGATAAAGGCCCAAACTTGAATCTCTAGAACAGTAGCTACACAGTTCAGATTCAGATTCAGATTCAGTTTTATTTGCCATTTGCAGTAAAAAAAAAAACACATTGGAATACATCAGCAAAAAGTCTCCAGTGTGCACAGACAAATACAAACATAAAACAACATTAAAATACAAAAATAAAACAAATAAAACAGTTCGTTAAACAATCAGAACTCCACATAATAATTGTATGTGTTATTGCTCTTTAAAAGAATCACACTTTTGGAGAAGAATACTGTAACTGTTTTCTGAAGCAATTGTGAAAGAAAAAAAATAAGGATATTAGCACCAACAGAATATATTGAGTTGTATTTATTTTCACCAAATAAAAGTGTTTCGATCAGATACCATATACGGGTATAACAAGATTTTTTCCCCACTGAGGGACAAATGAAGGATCTCTTTATCTTAATTTTTTATACCGAAATAATTTAATTTCTTCCTTATGAGCTCCTATCATTTAAGTGCAGTTTTGCACATTTTTCTTTCCATTTTAATAATCTGTTTTTGATGTTTATCTTTATTGTTTTTATTGATTCCATGTGTGGCTCATATTGAACATGCAGACAATCTTTTAATTTCCTTTGGGATTAATCAAATACATATCTATCCAAATGTAGAAGGTAGACGGAGAATTTTCTGGTAAAAACTGTGAGAACGTTGGAATCTCACAGAGGCCCAATCTCTCTCTTAAAGGGTGAATAACAGCGATATATTAGACAGGAGCACCGCCTGAAGAGCCCGACGTATAGAGTTAAGAAGATCAAGCTGCTCTAAGATATTATATTTGCCCCAGTGTGGGTTTTTTACAGCAGGTATTCGCCCCCACAGAGACCAGCCTTAGCTATTCATTAATTTGCCGAACAACATTCAATATTAATTTTCCTGCTGCCTTGTGGCTATTACCAAAAAAAAGACAAAATAACACATAATACTTTTTTTAAATTGTCTCCAGCGCAGTCTTTCGGGGGTTTGACTGCTGCAGATTCTATAACAAGAAAAACATATGCCGGTGTGTGTAATTGTTTTTTTATGAAAGACGGGCGGACAATATGCCTCTGGATAAAGTAGCAAGTACTTAAGCAGCAGTATAAGAAGCAGTAAATCAATGTATTATTAATGGCAAAAACAATATACTGTGATATACTAACCAAGTGATCTATAGAATATTTATTTCTGTCTATGCTCAGCTTGTAACTAACCATATGACGGCAAAGTGGCAGAGTGGTTTGCTCTCTCGTTCCACAGCAAGAATATTTGATTCCATCTCCAGACATGGTTTTTCTGAGCGGAATTTGCATGTTCTCCCTGTGTCTGCGAAGGTTTCCTCTGGGTGCTCCGACTTCCCAGACCGACTAAAAACATTGGTTTTATATAATGCTTTTCAGGACACTCACAGACGCTCTTATGTCAATATTTTTTCACTCCATACACAGCGGTGATAAACTACTACTGTAGTCACCGCTGCCCTGGGGCAAACTGACAGTGAGGCAACCAGTATATGCCATCGGCCCCTCTGACCACAACCAGCCATTCACACACACACACAACAGAGTCATTCAATAATTCAATAATGTGCCCAAAGACACTGTGACAGTTTGGCACTTTACAGCCGCCCCACTGTAAGCAAGAAGGTCCTGGGTTCAATTCCCGGTCGGACCAGGGCCTTTCTGAGTGGAGTTTGCATGTTCTCCCCGTGTCTGCGTAGGTTTCCTCCGGGTACTCCGGTTTCCCCTACCACTAAAAATATGTACAATAGATCTGGCATGCGCCTCCTGTTTGGCGACCCTGCTCCCATCTCTGTGTGGAGCCCTGGAGTGCCCAAAAATAACAATTGTAAAGCGCTTTGTGATTCTGGTCTGTGAAAGGCAGTATACAAATAAAGATTACTTACTTACTTACACTGTGGCACCTGGTATTTCAAGAGGTCTCCCATCACGGTACTACTCAGGCTCCGTCTTGCACAGCTTCAGAGGTCTGACACAATCTGACTTTAACATGCAAGTATAGCAGCAAAAACTTCCTTCAGCCGAGGATCAAAATCTGGAGATGGGACCCCGGGCGACCTGGCAACCTGTGGCATTGCAGGATGGGTCAAATGCAGAGGACAAATTGCCCAACTGGGAGAAATAAAGTGTACCTTAACCTTCAGACAGAAGATAGGAAACCAATTCAGGGACCCTAGAAAGGAATAGCAATATCTTGGTGACATTTAATACCTGTCAGGCCATTTCAAACTAACACAAAATAAAGACTAAAGTCTTTAGTGAAAGCCATAGTGGAAGTAGAATCATTTTTCTTGTCTGGAAATATAATTTTACCACTATATATTGATCTTGTTGTTGCTGAAAACATCCGTTCTATGTGTAACCATAAATGATCAACATAACCCTCTCTGTCCATGGGGGACTTCTTCATAAGGCAGGTTTCCCAGAACAACATGAGGAGGTAGGTGGACTGCTTTGCCCCAATGTTTTCACTGGACGGTCCCACTGTGCCGGCCTCCATTGGTCCGGGACCATGGCCATGCACAGATCTGGCTCTTGGGCTCTTGATGGCAGCCGTTTACACACAAATATGGCTGGACGACAGGAGAAGGCGAGCAGTCCTTCGTGTTTAGTTAATCCCAAGCGTCCCATTGGTCTGAAATGATTTCAGCTCGTGCCTCCTGGCTTCAGATTGCACGGGAGAAAGTCCAGCTCCTACGACATCTGACTGCGTTTCACTGGAACAGAAGGACGCCGCACACCAAACGTAGATAACAGTGACAACAGTGAAAAGTGTGTTTATCTCTTAACTCTTTCCTCAGACATGTCAGCTGTAATGTCCCAAAGGCAGAAGCATCGAGGGTTTTTACTGCACAAATTACTGAATGTAATCACATTATTTGCAAAGCCACATAACACCAGCTTGTGAGAATGTATTTATAACCCAAAGAGGCTTGACTTTGTCCTTGGTCTGTTTCAGACACATTTGATGGTATTTTTACTTCACTTCCAGCCGGTTCCCTTTAATCTTAGCTTAATTGAGGCACAGGACACCCCCCACTGCTCACAGCCCTCAGCTGCCTCCATATGACCTCTGAGAGGTGGTGGCACAACGGATGGGTGCCTCCAACTGCCTGCTTTAATCAGGCTGGTGGCTGGCTTTTTATCATCTCTGAACAAATATTTAAATTGAAGGCGAGAACCTCTGTGTTGTGAAGCTGCAGTACATGCTGAAGGTAATGAACTGGCAAAGAACGGGAGGTCAACAAGGGCACGCGTCACAAGAGATAAACTATAACAAAACATTGTGTTTGTCCTTCATCAAACTGACCCTTTTGTGTACTTTTTGGAGAACCAAATAGTGTTTTTACTTCATGGCGTGTGTGAATAATATGTTTTTCTTCACGTTTAGAAAACTTGGATTAACACTTTTCTTGTAAAAACCTTTTCCCAAGGACATGACTGAACTTGGCGAACAAGAGTAAAGTAAAATCTATCGCTGCCAGAAATCCTTCAAGAACACGGTCTTCTTTGAACCTAAAGCAGGATGAATATTCTGCCTTTAATTTGACTCGAAAATGGGTTGGAAAAGTGTGTTTCATACCACTACTCACCCATTCACTCATCTACATGTGGGAAAGTGAACTTTTAATAAGGACTTTTAACTGCTTTTATTTTTGTGATGTGTTTTGTGTGTTTTTATATTTTTATTGCATGGATTTTAATCACAGTTCCTTAATTATCCTAATTACCCACACCTGCTTTTAACCAAGAGGACCTCAAATTGGGGGCGGGCACTGGAGCGAGAGAACAGAGTGACAGAGCACGAGTGGAGAAGGACGAGACCGGACCGGGCCAAAGAAGGAGCACCGCCAGCCAGAGACCACTGGGGACTGAGGCCAGCGGGGAGAGCGGCACCGGTGAGGTGCATTTCTTAATCATTTCTTAATCATCATTGACAGCTCACAGGCGCGTGCGCACAGGGCTAGGCCCTGAATCACGGAGGGATGTGTCCGCTCTCCCCCGCGGGTGCCCGGTGGCGACCCGTGGTTGGCGCGTGACTGGCGGGACGGTGGCCCGGTCCCAGGACGGAGAAAGGCCTGGAGGGAACGAAGGCCAGGGAGGACACTGGTGACCAGCGGACTGCGGGTGTTTTAACTTCTTTTTAATGGACCTTTTGTAAATATTTTGTTACATTTTATTCACTTTTTATCCTCTTGCTCTTTTATTGATCTCAACAGACTCTTTTTAACCTGTGACATACACATCATTGTGCGCACACAAGATGTTTAAGTGTCTTGCTCGAGAACACACCACAGCATTCACCAAAACAGGATATGAACCACCAACCTTCAGCTCAGAGGACGCTCACTGCCCCCACTCCCCTCTTTGTTTTTGTCTTCACATACTTTTGTCCAGTCATTGTGCAAGCAATATTTTTTGATAGTTCATAGATTAATGTTTTTGGTAATATTTTTTTCTTTTAGTAATTTGATGGCATGAAGGAGCTATAAATAGCACTTGTGCGTTTCCAGAACCAGCTGGTGCCACATGGTTTGATTTGGTGAGCTTTTTGTAGCATTACTTATCGTTTGTTTTGTTACATTTTGTTGAGGGTGGGCTTTCTTCATTTTTCTTCATCTATTGAGTCTAAA